AGATCAATTACATTTTTTTTTAAAACAGCACTTAATCCTCATTACAGAGAATAGCAAACAAAAGATCTGTGGCACATTATCTTTGGAAAGATCTTTTGCAAATTTTTCTTCTAAAAAAAAAAAACTATAATTCTCTCAGAGATCACATATGTCTCTTTCAAAGGACTATACAAGGCATCTAACTTTTATTCACAAAAGCCCCAAGTTGCAGTTCCATTGCTGAAGTAGATAAAATATGTGGAGTTCCCCTTATTTGTGTTGCACATCTTCCCATTGAGAGCATCGCTGCTTTTCTATCCTACATACAAAGTCGTTGTGTTGACAAGAGCTGGCACATTATTCCACAGAAATTAAAGAAAAACTTATTACTTTAAAGATAGCCCAGTGATTTTCATTTATCAACTGGAAAAATTATTCATTTAAACAATTTAACACCAAGATTTGACTTTTCTAAAGTTATAAGAAAGCAAAAATATATAATATAATATAATATATAATGGTAATAAATAAAAAAAAAGCAACCCTGCTCAGATAACATCCAAACATGATCACATTCAGGAAAAAAAAATTTTTTTAAACAAGATTTGGGACACACACACACACACACACACATACACATACACACACCCCAACATGAACAGTGTATACTTGATGTCTGAAGGGAGGATATGCAGTGAGCTTAACAATACATGTCATGGCCTGAACAGAAGGCAAACTTAATACTGCCTGTGAGGAGCATTGCTTAAATATCTACTTTTAAGCAAAGCAAGTCATCTCCTTTAGGTTGGCCACTACCTGGTTGGACAGTGCAGCTTGGCCAGCCTTGATGTCAGTGGTCTTATTCCCATGTCCTCCCGGGCCTATGTATTTCCATATAGGCTTATGAGGAGCTGCAGGGTTCCCTTCCTGCCCTCTGAGACATCGCCTTAGGTAGAAGTAAGGGCACATCTACTCAGCATGGTACCTAATGATGTCTGACTCACAGCGACAGGATAAAGTGTGATTTCCCTCAAAACAATAAGAAACATACAGTCACCTCAAGAAAAGTAGTAGGTGGTGCTGATCAACGCATCATAAATAAGAACTAAAGAACATGACTAGTGCTCACAATTCACAAAGAGATGTGCATCCTCAGCCACCAAGAAACAAACATAACTGGGTTGTGGACTGGAGGACTGACTACATGGCAGAAATACCACTTGTAATGTGTGAAGGAAGACCCTCAGCACCATGCTATTCTGCCATTATACTTCTCCCCATGAAAACAAATAATAAAGGCACAGAAAAAAAATACCTTATACCCATTATTTCCCAGTGGGAAAAAACCAGAAGAGGCAATCCACAAGAGAAGGGGTGGGGGCAAGCACCACCATAATCGATCCTGGCCATCTCTTCACAGCTGCAATGTGTACTCACTTTTCAGTAAGAAAATCTACACTTCTGTGTTTCTACCAGAAGCCCAAAATAGTCTTGGAAAATTTAAATCCTGCTACTCAGTGGGAAAGAGTGTCTCAGAAGAAATGATAAAAAATTTTCAAAGGTATTTTGTAGTGTCAGGGAAAATAAATCATTAAGAAAAAAATAAAGAATCTGGTACAAGGCATGGAAGAATTTAAAAGTATGCTAAATAAAACCAACTCATTTATCTTAATATGCACAAATAAACTTCAAACTTCATAAAGCACAAGATAGATATAAGACGACCCACATAACATACCTTGAAGCTGTGGCAAAACAACATTATTTCAAAATTAGGTTTGGTCAACAAGGACACAACAAATATATACAACTGAATCAGCTCTTGTTCTCTATTTGTGTACAGATTACATATTCTTTTGCACATCAGAGATAGCAGTTGTAGAGAACACAGTGGTTTTCTTTTTGCTTTAAAAAGTGGGATCAAGACTAACCTCCTGCTCCTACTAACATTAATATGTAAGGTACCAGGTAAGGCAAGTTTTCAGCTAGAAAGGGAGAGTAGATTAGCTGAACATCCCAAGATCTAAAACTAAAGAGTAAAGAATAAAGGAGGTAAATGTCCAATGTGTCTAAAGGAAGTAGCTATACATTTTGGCTAAAACAGATCTTTAAAAAAAGATCTTTTTGTTTAAAAAATAAGTTGCTTTTCTCATTTAATATTGTGATCAAATCATAATATCAAACAAATTATCCTATTGTAGTTTATTCCTGATTACTGCATGCTGAACCCTCTCATACTGTACCACTGCTACCATGTCATTTGTATATTCATAATCTTAACCCCAAGTATAATCTGGTAGATTTCAGAAAAGTCTTTTTCATTATTAAATAGGGCTCCAAGGTTCGTTGATTCACATTTTCACTATCTTCAGAAGGGCAGAAACATTCAACAATTCGTTTAAAATAAAACAGTATTCTTCCACATTCTTATTCATTCTGTCT